AAAAAAGAAAAAAAAAAAAAAAAAAAAAAAGAAATCAGGTTCTCTTTGCCCGAGGTGTGCTGTGCTAGATGGTCCTCATGATGTATGAAGTCATCACGGGTGAGGGTTACGTGCCCTGGGACACTCATTCCTGGTCCTTGTGCCCTTATGGACGTAACCGGTATGCAGTTTGGCGTGTATCCTTCTAGAACTTTTTCCCTGTATTCACCTACATATATCATCATTATGCGTGGGAAATGGATGGTATTGTTTGTGGAGTTGTGATTTTTTTTTTTTTTTTCTGTAAACCACATCAAACTATAAGAAACGGGGGTGGAGGGGTAACTCGGTTGGGTTCATTCACTAGTATCTTAGAGATCTTCCCACATTGGTACAGGGAGCTCTAACTTAATATTTTCCTGCCCTATAGTATTCCAGTGTCTGGATGTGCTGTATTTATTTTGCCTTCCCCCTGCTGAGGGACATTTACAATGTCTCTTTTTTTCTGCTCAGTGGACAGCACTGCAGGGCACCTGTTCATACCCCTCCTTACACACACGTTTTTGCCGAGGGTGGATCCCAGGAGGGGATCCGAGAGCACTTGCAGTTTCAATCAGTCTTCATACCTGCTGCTAAATCCCCTGCCCCAGTCTGTTACAGACACTCCCTGGCAGCCCTCAGGGTGGAAGGGCTCCCAGATCGCTGGGAGCTTTCCGGACTGAGCAATCTTTCCTGGCTCCTTTTTGCTGCAGACGGTTTGGTGGGGCAGGGGTGGGGAGGAGGGGCATTTGCTTCTTATTCTTTTGCCTTCCATTCTCTCTGAAAATTCCGTTTCTCTAAAAGGCAGACCTCGCCTCCGTCTTGTCCTGGGGGAAGTGGGACCCAGATTACCATCTCCAACCGTCTCAAAGGGGCAGACCTGGACCAAGTGTGCGTGATCATAGAATTGCCTCCCCGGGGCCTTGGGAGGCGTGTTTGGGGGTGTAGTGGTGAGCCCCACCCTTCTTACAGTGTGATATGGTTTATGTAACAATAAATAAAAAGTGCTGAGCCCCACCCTTCCCAGATGTTTTGGGGTGACCGAGTCAGGAGGGGAGAGGATTTTGGAGCAGGACAGGATGCTGGGCCCAGCCGGTCCACCCACCTGTCTGACCCCTCTCTCTCCCACTCGCAGACGTACAAAGGGTGTGGGTTGAAGGAAAGAGGGGGCAAAAAAGGAGAATCAAGAGGGACCTAAAAATAGATCTAGCAATGAAAGGAGACATTCAAAGGCGGGCTGGCGAGTTGCCCCTCCCTGACAATGCGCCCGGTTTTCAGGCTAATGGGGACTTTTCAGGCGAGATACCAGCTCCCCTGAGACCAGCCCAGGAGTTGGCAGCCCCTCACGGCTACCTCCTCCCTGGCCGGGCTCCCGCTGTCACCATGGACGTTGTTTCCTGGCCGGGTCCACCCCTGAGCCCAGCCCTGTCCCCTGGAGCAGACCCATCCTGCCTTCACGCCCTCCCTGGTCCCCGCCCACTCAGGACGTTCCCTCCCTGGCTGCACCCAAGGTCCTGGCGGCCTGGCCCGGGCCTCCTTGCTGACCTCGTGACACTAGCCTTGCACCTGTGGCCTTGCCTGACCATCTGCCTGGGTTAAAGGATCTGCGTGGGGAATTCCCTGGCGGTCCACTGGTTAGGACTCTGTGCTTTCACTGCCGAGGGTGAAAGTTCGGTCCCTGGTCAGGGAACTAAGATTCCACAAGCTGCGTGGCACAGCCAAAAACCAAACCAAACCAAAAAAAAAAGGATCCACTTGAACCCTGGTCATTTCTACTGGGCGAGTCCCCAGCCTGTGTTAAATGTCACACTGTGCCTTCTCCATGCTGGAGACCCTGAACCCCCGTTCCAGCTGCGCCTTGGCTCCACTGCAGACACGCGCTCCTCTGGGCCCCAGGGAGGCCATTCCAAACCTGCTGCAGCTTCCTCTCCTGCAGCCTGTTCTCCTTCCCAGAACACACTCTCCTGTCGATGTGGACTCCCTCCCATCTGCACCTCTTCTCTGTGTGTCCTCACCCAGTTCCACCCGTCCCTCGTCTTCTTCAGCAGAATTTTATTTATTTACTGAGTACTTACTGAGCACCTACTATGTGCCAGGCACCCTTCTAAGGGCTGAAGATACAGCAGCCACAAGTCAGACCAGGTGTCTGCTGGCTCTGCTAGAGTCTACATTCTAGAAGGGGATGAACAATAATCCAGAAAACTCCCAAGGTGGGTTTAGGTGGTGAAAGTGCTATAAACGACGAACAAACAAAGCAGACCATGGTGGCGGAGGACAGAGCACTGGGGGTGAGGAGACGGAGGAAACTTAGACAGGGAGGCTGGAGAAGGCTGGGTGTTTTTTTTTTTTTCCCATTTTTAAAAATTTTGTGAAAATAAATGTAATATAAAATCTTCCATCTTGACCTTTTTTTTTTTTTTTTTTTTTTTTGCGATATGTGGGCCTCTCACTGTTGTGGCCTCTTCCGTTGCGGAGCACAGGCTCCGGACACGCAGGCTCAGCGTCCATGGCTCACGGGCCCAGCTGCTTTGCAGCACGTGGGATCTTCCCGGACCAGGGCACGAACCCGTGTCCCCTGCGTCGGCAGGCAGACTCCCAACCACTGCGCCACCAGGGAAGCCCCATCTTGACCATTTTTAAGTATGTGGCCTTAAGAACATTCAGTGGCCTTAAGAACATTCACGTTGGGACTTCCCTGGTAGCGCAGTAGTTAAGAATCTGCCTGCCAATGCAGGGGACGTGCGTTCGATCCCTGGTCCAGGAAGATCTCACATGCCATGGAGCAACTAAGCCCATGTCCCACAAGTACTGAGCCTGCGTGCCACAACTGCTGAAGCCCTTGCGCCTAGAGCCCGTGCTCCGCAGCAAGAGAAGCCACCGCAATGAGAAGCCCGCACGCCACAAAGGAGAGTAGCCCCCGCTCGCCGCAACTAGAGAAAGCCCGCACGCAGCAACGAAGACCCAACAGATCCAAATAAATAAATAAATTGAAAAAAATCGAGAGAGAGAACAGTAAACTTACATTAAAAAAAAGAAAAACAAAACATTCACCTTATTGTGCAACCATCCATCTCCAGAACTTTTTCATCTTCGCAAACTGAAGCTCAGTATCCCTTAGACAGCAACTCCCCACCACAGTCCTCCTGGCACCCACCGTTCTGCTCTCTGCTTCTGTGATTTTGACTGCTCTCATATGCGTGGAATCATACAGTATTTGTCTTTTTGTGTCTGGCTTATTTCACTTAGCAGAACGT